CTCTCTGGTCCTTCCCAGATAGTTTCCATTTCTCTCCTGCCACTTCTATCTCCTAATCCTGCCGATCTTTTGAGGTATTCTGCAAAGCACTTCCCAATGTGCCTTTTCTAGTCTCCTCATCCTGAAGCATTCACTCTTTTTTTTTTTTAATGTTTGCTTTTGAGAGAGAGAAAGCATGAGTGGGGGAGGAGCAGAGAGAGAGAGGGAGACACAGAATCCAAAGCAGGCTTCAGGCTCTGAGCTGTCTGCCCAATGCAGGGCTTGAACCCATGGACCACAAGATCATGACCTGAGCCGAAGTCGGACGCTTAACTGACTGAGCCACCCAGGCACCCCCTGAAGCATTCACTCTTGAAGAACAACCAGAGTATTTAATTTTTAACTTTCAGTGCCTTGGGTCGCCCATAGACCAGCAACACGGGTATCACCTGAGACCTTGTTAGAAATGCAAAATCTCAGGTTCCACTTGGGACCCATGGGATTGAAATCTGCATTTCAACAAGATCCCCAAGTGATTTGTGTGAATATTTAAGTTTGAGGGTAGGATCTTTTGTTTGGGAATGGCCTTCAGCCAGGGCTGGTGGTGTTCTTAAGTGCCAAGTCTAACAGCCCCCATCAGGTGACAGGTGGCACATCTGGCCAGATTCCACGAGCTATGAGAAGGGGTGGATGGTTGAGATGGCTGTGAAGCATGCATACTTTGCCTGTCCCCTCCTACCTGGAATCTATGCCCCAAAAGGCCCCAGAGCTCAAGCTCTGTAAATCTGACTCGAGAAAGTACTCTAGCAACACAAGGAGGAATCAATTAATCGATGAAAAAGTAGTTATCAAGCATATAGCAGAACTTCTTCCTCTTCACAAAACACATACTGGTGGAAATGACTGTTATTTTAATGTATATTTTGAAAATAAAAATATGTATTTTAGTTTTTCTTTATGATAGCATCAATACAGTTTCTAAAGTGGGAACTTAAAAAAACACGGTATGTCACATGAAGAAAATAAGAATAACTCACAATTCTACTATCCAGATATAAATATTGTCAATTTAATATTTGTTTGAGATTGTCATTCATTCCTTCAACACATAAAAAAAATTTTTTTTTTTACATTATTTATCTTTTGAGAGACATAGAGAGACAGAGCACAAGTTGGGGAGGAGCAGAGAGAGAAGGAGACACAGAATCCGAAGCAGGCTCCAGGCTCCGAGCTGTCAGCACAGACCCCGACGCGGGGCTCAAACTCACAAACCGTGAGATCATGACCTGAGCCAAAGTCGGACGCCCAACCAACTGAGCCACCCAGGCGCCCTCAACACGTTTTTACAGAGCCAGGCCTATGCCAGGCACTGGAGGTTCAGGGTGAAGAAGATATGGTTTCTGTTTTAGGTGGAGTGTGGGAGACAGGCATTAAACAAATTAAGAATAGCAGTATATGAATTTCCTAGGGCAGCTATAACAAACTGGGTGGCCTAAAACAATAGAAACTTATTCTCTAACAGTCCTGGAGGAAGGTGGCAGGATTGGTTCCGCTGAGGGAGATGCTGTTCCGTGACTCTCTCCTAGCTTCTGGTGACCGCTGGCAATCCTCGGTGTTCTTCAGTTTGTTGCTGAATTAGTCCAAACTCTGCCCACATCATCATGTGGCATTCTCCCTGTGTGTCTCTGCCTTCATGTGGTTGCATTCTAACATTTATTTATTTTTGAGAGACAGAGACAGGGCAGGAGTAGGGGAGGGGCAGAGAGAGAGGGAGACACAGAATCCAAAGAAGGCTCCAGGCTCTGAGCTGTCAGCACAGAGCCTGACATGGGGCTCGAACTCATGAACTGGGAGATCGTGACCTGAGCCGAAGTCGGACGCTTAACCAACTGAGCCACCCAGGCGCCCTTCATGTGGTTGCATTCTTATGAGGACACCAGTCATATTGGATTAGAGACCCACCCTACTCCAGCATGACCTCAGTGTAACTAATGACATCTGCAATGACCCTATTCCAAAACAAGGTCAGATTCTGAGGTACTGGGGTTACTACCTCGACATATCTGTCCTGGGGGGAGAATTCAACCCATAACGGGCAGGGACAGTACAGAGTCTGGGAGAGCATGACAGGGGGAGTCATTTTGGGAAGACTCTCCTAGGAAATGACCTTCCAACTGGGACTGAGCGATGAATAGGGATTAGCCAGGCAAAGGCAGCACACAGAGAAACAGAGGGCATCAGAACATGAGGGTGGGGGTCAGCTGGAGAAGAACATTCCAGGCAGACAGGAGACCCAGGGCACTTTTGAGGAATGGAAAAAAGGCAAGTGCAGCTGGAATACAGAAGCGGAGCAAGAGCACGGGACGATCTGGCTCACTTGGCTTGTGGGCCTTGGTGTGAGGGGTTTTTACCTTCTCCTGAAAGAATTAGGGAGCTATGGCAAGCTGTCTTGCAGGAGTGATTCATTCTGCCTTGTGAGTGATCTCACAAAACTGAGTTGTCTGAAGGCTGTGTGCTTCCTCTATATTCCCCAGTTCTGAGGGAAGACACATGGCCATGTCCTCAGGAGCCCCCTGGCTGAGGAAAGACACATGGTAGCTCTGTCTGAGGAATGAAGGCATGGCCGTGTCTTCAGCAGCCCCTGGTTCAAATGGGGAGGACAAGCCCTGCCCTCAGGAACCTTGATCTGAGCAGGACACAGGGTGCAACCGGCTCTGGGTCTATCTTGCCCTTCAGTGTCCTGAGCTCTTGGAGTTGTGGACAGAGCTTTGGGTCCAGCTGCCCCACCCTCTGCCCTGCCGTGAAGACTATGTCTGAGAATGTGTCCAGGGTAGGCACATGACCCACGCAGGTCCCTGGGGCCAGAGGCACCAAAGCTGAGGGAGGCCAGGGGCTAGGTTTTGCAGGGGCTATATCCTGAGCACCTTGCTGCCCTCAAAGAATGTCTGGCTATTTCCTTTCTATGCAGGAACTAGCCTGGTGCTCAACCCATCCCTCACCACACCCTCAGAGACTCTTTACTGTGTGTGACAGGAGAGGGCCCCCCTGCCCAAAGCTGCCTTTCCTCCCTTGCCTGGGCTGGGTGGGCCAGGCTGGGTGGAGAAGTGGGTCAGCTTGGTAGCCATGGTGACAGCAGCTGCTCCCTGCCAGCCTTCTCATCTCCTCACCACAAACCTCACCGATGAGCTCTTTTGTCCAGCCTGCAGGGATGGGGGCCAGGAGGGTGGTACTCAGGGCTGGAGCTGGTATGAGTGTGTACGTATTCAAGCTCGCACAGGCACCTGCTCAGAGCTGGTGTGCGTGCCTCAGCCAAGAGAACCCAGGATCCAGGTATGACCCTTCACACTTCCCTGCCCACTAAAGGGATGGGGCTCCTCCCACCTCCCTGGGCTGGGCAGAGGCCAAGGGGGGGGGGTGTGTTTGAGTGTGTGTGGGTGTGTACACATATGTGAGTCTGCAAACGCCTGTGACTGTCAATGTGGCTGCTTCTGTGCACTTTTGTCTTGGGGGTGCATGTGCCTAGCTGTGTACGTAGGTGATTATGTCTTTTAAGTGTATATCATCCGTCTGGGTCGGTATGGTGTGTGACCACACATTTGAAACTCAGTGTCTCCCCCTGTGTGTGTATAGTGTGTGTGTGTATAGTGTTGTGCATGCGAGTCTGGCTTGGGGGAGACAAAGGTCACATGATCAGGAGGAGACCTGGTATGGTGCTCCCCATGCAAGCTGGGTGTGCTCCCTCAGCCCAGCCTGCCTCCCCCACGACATGCCAGCCTTGTCACCTGCCCATCTTTTCCTGGGGGTGGGGTAAAGCAGGGCTAGAAAAAAAGAGAACCCTTCTCCCCTTCTGTGGATGCAGACACTGGCCCCTGACATGGACACAGATTGGTACGGGAGATGCAGCGGGAAGCCCTGGTGGTGGACTGGGATTGGGTCAGGGCCCTCAAAAGTCAGACCCAGCACCCAGTGAGGGCCCAGGAGCTGAGAGGCTGGCAAAGAAAAGCACAATTTCACGTGCCAGCTCCCACCTCAACTGAGAGGCACAGGGACCCACATCCCACGCTGTCCTGCTCTCTGGGGGGAAGCAGGTGAGAGGTGATCCTCTCGGTCTCTGAGCCTTCCCACGAAGTGGTTGCACCCGGTGCGCAGGCCGGCCCAATGAGCACTGACGCCCATACAGTCCTTCCCTGTTAACAAAGGCACCATTATGGGTAGTAACAGTGTAGTTGGCCCACCGAGCATTTAGCACGTTACCGATCCTTATTTTATAGTATCTCATCTAATAATCCTAAGGCAGGCATTATTATCCCCACTCTAGTGGTGAGGAGCAGTAGGCTCGGGGAGTGGGGGGGGGGGGGCCGGCGTTAGAAGGAAATTGCCCGGCGTCATACGGCTTGCAAGTGACAGATCTAGGTTTTGAACCAAGTAGGTCTGCCTCCAAAGCCTGTGTTTTTAATCAGCGTTTTCCTGCTCCTCGTTATCCCATCTGACACCAAGTCCAGCGTGGAGAGTGGGGCTGCGTCCAGGTGGCAAGTAGACTCCCCCCCGCACAGAAGAGGAGCCGGAAGTTCAGAGAGGCTGAATGACTTGTTCCGGGTCACATGGCTGGGGGTGGAGCCAGAAGTGCTCCACCCCCCCCCCCCCCCCATCCCGGGGTATCTCACAGTATCTGGGGAGGGACATCCCTTCAGTGGGAGGGAGGACTGAGGAAGAAAGAGTAAGATGTAGAGCTCCTTAGCCGTTGGACCTCCATTTGTCCCTCGTGTGTTAAAAGTCTTAAAATTATGGGTGGGGCTTCAGCAGCAGTAGTTTGACATTAACGTGCCTACAGGCAGATTCGGGGACCCAGGAGTTGAGATGCTTTCTACAAAGTAGGAAACAGAAGCAGAGAGTTTAAATGATTTGCTCAACATCCCATAGCCATCTCAAAAGTCTGTCTCTTAACTCTGCAAGCTCCTGGAAGCCCTTAAGGATAGATGTTTTCACTAGCCCTTCCTCTAAACTCCCCTCTTTCCTTCCAGACTCTTATCACATCACCTCCTCCTAGAAGCTACCCTGATTGCCTTCACCTCCTTTCTTGAAAACTGGTGTCTGGGCAAAAGTTAACAGAAGCCTCGTGTAAATGCCCTAGGGGTGTGCTGTTGGTAGGGGCACAGCCCCCTGTGATGTGGAACACCACGCTCAGATTCATCAGTTGGGTGAGTTTGGGTTTTCTTCAAAGTGGGGAGGAAGCACCTGCCAGGTGATGTGGGACCTGGGAGTTAGGAGAATTGGGTTGGAGCTCTAGTTTTGTCACCAACTTTCTGTGTGACCCTGGGTGTGTCTCTTTCCCTGGGCCTTGATTTCCCACTCTGCAAAATGAAAGACTCAGGCTGGAATGGGGTTGGCAAATCTGTTTTAAATCATGGGCCACTTTTCACCAATTGGTGCTGGAGCTGTGTTGAGAGGGATTCTGAGGTTAAATCTGTCCTTGGTGGGAAAGAGATGGATTAGTGATGTCTGCTGTGGGTGGAAGAAGGAGAGAGGTGGTAAGAGCCTCAGTTATTTGCCATCCCTTCCAACCTACCAGTCCATCACCCTGTGACAGATTCCTTGGTCTCTCCTGTTGAAAGAGTGGGTAGCTAGGTTTATGTTGGGCTTTTGGATGGCCCTGTTTGACTCTCAAAACAGGCTTATGATCTGGTTAGACACATGAGGGACCTGGGTAGCCTGGCAGAGCTCTGAAACCCCAGCTGTCAGGATTCAAGAGATGGTCTGGGGAGCGCTTCGGGTACTGTGACTCCAGGGTAGAGGCCAAACATCCATAACTGGAAAGAAAACACTAGCCTCCTTGCTTGGGGAACTTGGAAGGTATCTGCGGGCATGGAGCTTTGGCAGGAGTGGGGACAGTAGGACTCGTCCCTGGAGGGGACACCCGAGCCATAGTAGTAGATGCTGCTGTGGCAGTAGATGGGGGTCAGCGGAGAGAACTCCAGAGTGAGATGTCTGTGACCCGGCGAGGAAGGGCTCCCTTCCTTGAGGTGCCATGAACTGGGCTGGGAAAGGGACAGTCCTGCTCAGAGGCAGAGAATTGTTGAAGTGACTTTTGTAGAAAGGATATAGGTCATTTAGCAATCTCTTGGAACCACCAATATGTGAGATGCTGTGCTCTGTGGCTTGCTGGCCCCTCACACTCTGCCCCCATCTCTGCCTGCTGCCCCTTCCCCGTCCCTGTGGTCTCATGGCTCAGAGGGCGCTATAAGTAGGACTTACATGGGAGCCAGGTGGCTGGCTCTGTCTCTCTGTCTACCCCCCCTTTTTTTAAACCTTTTTTTTTTTTTTGAGAGACAGAGAGAGACAGAGCGTGAGTGGGGGAGGAGCAGAGAGAGAGGGAGACACAGAACCCAAAGCAGGCTCCAGGCTCTGAGCTGTCAGCACAGAGCCCGACGCGGGGCTCGAACTCACGAACTGTGAGATCATGACCTGAGCCAAAGTCAGACGCTTAGCTGACTGAGCCGCCCAGGTACCCCATACCCCTCTTTTTTTTTTAAGTTTATTTATTTATTTTGGGGGTGGGGGAGAGAGAATGAGTAGGGGAGGGGCAGAGAAAGAAGGAGAGAGAGAGAGAGAGAGAGAGAGAGAGAGAGAGAGAGAGAATCCCAAGCAGGCTCTACACTGACAGCACAGAGCCTGATGTGGGGCTTGGACTCATGAACCATGGGATCATGACCTGAACCAAAGTCAGACACTTCACCGACTGAGCCACCCCGGTGCCCCTCTGTCTTATCCCTCTTGAACTAGACTGACTGTCAGAGAAGCAGCCAGAACCCCCATTCTGCCAATGCAGAATGTGTCCTTAGGCTCTGCTCTCCAGTTACAAGGACTTGTAGAGATCACCTAATCCAACCCCTTCGTTTTACACACAGATGAGGAAACCAAGGCCCAGAGAAAGTGACACAAGGAATCTATAGGCATTCTAATCCCACTTCCTGATTCTTCATTCTCCCAGGCTGCCCTGCCCAGCACTCCTGCACCAGAGGTCCACTGCTTTGGGTCTGGTTCCTCCTGTCCCCTTGAGGGTGGCCTATCTGGCTGGGCCTTCTGAAGCATTCACCAGCTCTCTAGGCCCCTCTGGGTGATCCCTGGGTAGTTAAAGATGAGAAAGTGGCTCCAGATGGTGCAGAGTCCTGGATGTCAAACCATCTGCTTGTCAATGTCATTCATTATTCATGAGGAAACATGAGCCCCTGGGTTGGCAGGGTCAGGAATTTTGTCCCATACTTTCTTCCCTTCTCAACCCCTGGGAGTGATAATCTTGAGCTTCCTGTAGGCTGTGCTAGGGAAGTGCTTGCTTCTCCAGCTGTGTCTGGGTGGGGTTTCTACTGCCCCCAGATGCTTGTGCCTGCTGTGGAAACCTGGCCCAGAGAGGTTTTTCTAATCAGAGATAATTTTCTTGCAGAGTTTTCAAAAAGCCGGAGACCCAGGGCAAAGCCTGAGTGGGAGGGATGGGCCTACACCTTTGGGTGAGGTCTGGGTTGGTGGGGCAGGAACTGCTGAGTGTGTTCACATCTTTGTGGGAAGAGGAGACCTGGGTTCGAGTCCAGGTGTTGCCATTTTGTAGCCAAGTAGGATGGGCAAGGCCTTGACTTTTCTGATCTGTGACATGGAGATTACCATACACCTAACAAAAATACTTTAAACATTTTTTTAAAGTTTATTTTATTATTTATTTTGAGAAAGAGAGAGAGAGAGAGAGAGAGAGAGAGAGAGAGAGAGAGAGAGAGAGAGAGAATGAGTGGGGTATGGGCAGAGAGAGGAGAGACAGAATCCCAAGCAGGCTCCGCACTGCCAGCATAGAGCCCGACTCAGGGCTCAAACTCATCAACCATTAGATCATGACCTGAGCTGAAACCAAGAGTCAGACGCTTATGACTGAGCCACCCAGGCACCCCTAACAGCAATACTTTAAAGAGTAAGTTAGGCTTACACTGGAAGCCCTCTCCCACCATTCACCAAAAGACCATGCAGGTACCCAAAAAAAACCACATAAATTGGCACTAGAATTGGAAACTGAAGAGAAGAGATCATCATAGGCCCAAGTCCAGGGGGACTTTCCATTAGCTGCAAGGTTAATGGGGGATGGATGGAGAAATACAATCCGGGAGTCTGTGTACATCACAGGGTGAGCGAAAACAGTCCAGACAACCACAAAGAAGGGAGAACACAGCTTTGACTCATCCCCACTGTCAGCCCTAATCTGCCTGGTTGGCAGGAGCCATGCTGACCAGGAGGCCAAGTGGCCACCGTTCACAGCTATCTGGGGACTGAAATCCTCTAGAGTGGCATCCTCCCTCCTCCCTCCTTCTCCCCTGACCTGACACTTCAACTATGTCCTTTTGAAAAGGCAGATTCCCTCAGGGTGACAGGGCTGAGAACAGAGGGTCGAGCAAAGTGACCGGAGATGGGCTGCCCTGGGAAGAGCTCTGTAGGTTGAGACAGAGCTGGGAAGGGCTGTGTGCAGAGCCTGCCGGAGCAGCCGTTTTTCCCATACTCTGAGCAGAGGGCACCTGCCGCAGCATTGGACCTTCAGCCAAGTTGTAGAGGCCGATAGCTGGAGATCCCATCTCTGTGCAACACTGAGCCACCCAGCTCCCCCAGAGTGGCTTCCAATGCCCTCTGTCTTCCCTAGCACTCATCAGAACAATCCGATTTAATATTTAATTACGTAATCAGTCACTCGCTGTCTGTCTCTCTTGGACTGGAGGCTCTGAGCGGGCAGGACCAAGTCGGCCTGGCTCGCTGCTGTATCCTCGGCACTCTGCACAGGCCTGGAAATTTGGGGGGGGCTTCGATATTTTTTGAATCCAGCTTTGGAAAGGAATTCGGCAATATTTTACAAGAATCAGAGAAATGTTTATGTCCTTGGTATCAGGTAGGATGCTTTGGGATGTAACTGAGACCACTGATTCAAATTGGCTTAAGCAGTGGAAAACACATTATCTCACATAACTAGAAGGCCAGAGAAAAGCAGCTCCAGGGTGGCCGAGGTCCTTTCTGTCTGTGCTGTGCTGCACTCGACAACACTGGATTCCTCTTGGGACTGGGCCCTCTCTAGGGGGAAGAGTCTTGAGGGAAGAAGTGGGGAGAGAGACCCCACTTCGCTGGTAAGCATGGAATCCAAATCTTCCCCTTAAGTCAGATCGGGCCAACTTAGTCATATGCCTGCCCTTGTACCAGTACAAGTTACCAAGATGAGGGCCGCTCACTGATTGGCTTGAACTAATCAGGATCTGCCTCTGAAATGGGATGGGGTGGTGGCTGCACAAAACCAGCGCTCTGTCAAGAAGCAGGAAGGGAGTGTGGCTGTTGGGGAGGCTCCTAGCGGTATCCACACTCAGCCTAGTGACTCTGTTTCTGGGACTCAATCCTAAGGAAATAAGTAGATCAAAGCAGTGTTGAGTGATGTTGTTTAAAAGACAGGAGAGGGGCGCCTGGGTGGCTCAGTCGGTTAAGCATCCGACTCTTGGATTTTGGCTCAGGTCATGATCTCATGGTTTGTGAGATGGAGCCCTGTGTTGGGCTCTGTGTTGACCACATAGAGCCTGCTTGGGATTCTCTCTCTCTCTCTCTCTCTCTCTCTCTCTCTCTCTTTCTGCCCTCCCTCTCTTCTCTCTCTCAAAATAAATAAATAAACATTAAAAAAAAAAAAAAGAAGAAGAAGACAGGAGACAGAGGAGGAAGTCAGACCCGATCTAAGAGGTCACAATATTGAAATACTTAAGTCAATTATGCTACCTCTATACAATGAAATATTATGGTGGCGTTAAAACATTTATACCAAGCATTCATGACAGTGGGAAATGCTTGTGATATGATGTTAAACGAAAAATACCAGGATGCAAAATTGTATTTGCACTATGAGTTCAATTATTTTTAAAAATGCATAGAAAAGAGACTGGGAGGAAATCAGATCAAAACGCCTCCAGGGGCCGCCACTCCGTGGTGCGCTTAAGGGTGACCTGTGCCTGCTTCTTTCTACTTTTCTGTGCTGTCCCTTCCAGCAGGAGGGCCCCTTCCGGAGCCACCACCCCCACCCCGACCCCACAGGCTGGGGCCAGTCTTGCTGTCTCTGTTCTTATTATTGGCCATGACAATAATCACACTTACTATTTACTCCGTGCCTGGCACTGTTTTGGCGCCTTCACATGCTCTAATTTAATCCTTTCGACAGTCTTGTGAGGTGAGTGCTTTTATTTCTCGTTTTGCTGAGGTGTTCACTGAAGCCGCGAGGTGCTTGGTCACAAGATCACATAGCCAGTGTGTAGAGGCCTTTGGAATTCAAGAGTGGGCCGTACGACTCCACAGCCTCTGCCTTGACCTGGCCAAACCAGGTCACTTGCCAGGATAGCCATGTGCTAATAGGAATAGTCCCATTATTGAGCCAGACCCTGTGCACACTCTTTACATTTATTGATTCGTTTAATCCTCACAGCCTCAGAGAGGCCAAGTGACTTGCCCAAGGTCACACAGCTAGGAAGTGGTGGGCTGCCGTAGAGTGGCCCCAGGGCCTGATGTGGCACCCCTTTGTTTCCTGCCCTCCCCCCACAGGATTGCCTGAGGCCTTGCCGCCCCTCGGACCATGTTTAACGGGGAGCCTAGTCCGGCCTCGGCCGCGGCCTCCAGGAATGTGGTTCGGAGCTCCAGCATCAGCGGTGAAATCTGTGGCTCCCAGCAGGCTGGGGGTGGGACCGGGACCACCACGGCCAAGAAGCGGCGCAGCAGCCTTGGGGCCAAGATGGTGGCCATCGTGGGCCTGACTCAGTGGAGCAAGAGCACACTCCAGCTCCCCCAGTCTGGTGAGGGGACGTGGGACACGGAGGGGGTGGGGTGGGGTACCTTGCAATGACAGGGCACCCAGGGGGCGTCCTCATGCCTACAAATACTTATATAGCACTTACTGTATACCAGCTGCTACTCTGGGTCCAGTACATGTCCTGACTCATTGGATCCCCATAAACTCCATGAGGCAGATCCTCAAGCAAGAGAAGGGAAGTAAGATGCCCCCAACTACATAGCAAGCGGGTCATTGGAGCCTGAATTCAAAGCAGCTGGGCTGCAGGGTTCATGCTCCTGAACTTTACGCTGTGCTGCCTCCGTGCGCACCCTTACGCATTCAACAGCCACCGTATTCCTGGCACTGTGCTAAGTGGCACGGCTCCACAGACACCCATCCACAGGATACAGTCTCACCTGCATTCTCTGAATTTCCCAAGTACAAATAGCCTCAGGAATGCAGCCACACATTACCAAGTCACAAGAGAGACACACACACCTTGTATCATCATACGGTGTGTGCTCATTTGCTCAGGTGACTCACCCCTACTGCCGGGAAATCATACTGCAGTCATTCACGCTTGTGCATGGTCACAATGAAGCCAGTCATGCAAATCGCACAAGCACGCCCCTCTGAGTAGTAATGTACAGACCCAGATCACTGAAGCACGGTCGCATACGCACACACACAACAGCCCATGGTCACAGAAACATGTCGCACACGTATACGTACACACACATACCTCCCAAAGCCACGTTCACACACGCCTTAACAGCTACATCCTGAAAAACGTATTTTCTCAGCCACCTAGTTTTGGAGTCCTAGTGATGCTCGGACTGGGGGGTGACCCACTTTGTCACACACAGTCACCCTGGACCCCACATCACGGAGGAGGAGCCAGCCCTCCCCTCCCAAGACCTCCTCACTTTGTGGCATCAGCCCAGACACCAGCTGGTTTTGTTTTAAAATCTCTTCCTGCTTATTTTGTTCAGAGTAACAACTTCCCCAGGAAACCTTCAAATAGGCAGCTGGATGGGGGTGGTGAGGGGGCGGGGGCGCCGGAGGATCCAGAGAGAATGCTCATCAAGACTCCCAGTTGAGGGTGGGAGACTTTTCCAGGCCTTAAAATAGATTTTTACAAAGCCCTTCACAGGAGCACGTGGGATGGTCTTTTCCAGCAATCAAGCTGCAGTGTGTTTTTTAGCTCAGAGAAATGTTAGATGGGGAGGGGGCTTCAGGTTATCAGTGGCCCAGAAGGCATGGCCTTTGTGTTTGCAGTGTGGGCCTGGTGCTAGGGAATCAGGGGGATGGGGATCCAGGAGTTCGGCTGGCACAGAACCAAGCAGTGGGATTAAGGTTGGGGGATTAAGATTAGGAGGTTGAGGAGGTATTGGGCTCCAGGAGTCTGGCTTTAGGAATCTGGCTGATTCAGCTTCAGACCCAGAGGCTTCTTCATGCCGGAAGTGATTTGAACAGATGGTTTTCCAAGGTCAGGGCTGGGGCCTGAGTCACTGGGAGACATTCTGGTGATGTGCCTGGGGCTGTCCACCTACCCAGACTCCACAGTCAACAGGCAGGGACTGGAGTAAACACCAAGAAGATCTCCAGCCTCGAGGGGAGATGAATGATGGTGAGGCTTCTGGATCACTTGTCTCCATGGTAGGCATGGGTACAGCTGAAGGCCTGGGGCCTGAGCCACGAGAATTGCCCAGATGCCCTTTTAACCAAAATTCTCTGTGAACCATCCAATCTCCGAATGGGAGAGCAGGGAGGGCCCCTTGGGATCATCTAGTCCCCTACACTCATTTTATCGATGAGGCATCTGAGCCTGGAGAGGAGAAGGCACTTTCCTGGAGAACAACTTCAAGTTGGCCTTCACAGCCACACCCTGTCATTTACTAGTTGGGTGATTCAGGCAAGTTACTTCGCTTCTCCGAGCTTGCTTCCTTGATTGTGGAATAAGGACAATGATACCTGTCTTGCAGACTTTCCAGGGAATTACATGAGACAGGATATGCAAAGCCACTCAGCCTCATGCCAGCACATAATAGATACTTGGTAAATTGTTGGTATTATTATTACCCATGGCCACACAGTAGGACCCAACAAGAAGTGAGTTCTCTAGCCCCCACAACTCTGCCTCTCACCAGTAGCATACTCCTCTCCCATCTGTAATTCTTTCTTTCCATTTTTTTTCTCCCCAGTCTTGAGGTTGCCAGTGTCCCAACTTGGAGCCTCCTTCTGGGTAGGAGAGTCTGGCCCCAGGGGGATGTATGGGCTACCTAGCACTGGCTCTGGAAACTCGGTTCTGGGAAAAGATCCTAGCAGGGTGCCCCTGCTGCCCCCAGATGGGATGGCTCAGTTCCCTGAAGGGCTGGGCTGTGTGAAGTGGGGAGAACTCCTCTCTTGGACCCCAGCTTCTGAGCTCTAGGTCTGCCCTTCCCAGGAGCTTCCTTCCTCCTGATCTGTCCATACTCTGCATTGGCTCCAGCCCCACCCATCTCCTCCTGTGTCCTAGTTCAGGACCCATTATATCTAGCCTGGACTATTGCCCCAGCCTCCTCTCTAATTCTCCTGCCTCCCGCCTGCCCCTTCCAGTTTTTTCCTCACATTTTCCTAAAGTGGCCTTGAAGAAACTCACCCTGAAACTTCAGAGTTTCATTCTGGCTCTGTAACTCCCCGTGGGTCCTTGGGAAAGTCACATTTCCACTGGGTCTCTATTTCCTCTTCTATAAAATGGAACTATAGAGATGGTCTCCCAGCTTCCGGCTGTATCTAACATTCTCTAAGTTGTGGGAGTAATGATGAAGGTAGGGTCAGAGTTTTAGGGTCCTAGGACATAGGTGGGTTCTGGCCTGGCCTTAGGCTGGGTCTACTCAGGGCCCACCCTGGGCTATTCCAGCCCTTGCCCAAATGGAGCTCCTCTTTTCAGTACCAGGGACAGCAGCTCTTCCCACCTCAGCTCTGGGCTCTGGGTCAAGGTGGGGAGAGGACTCAGGACCCTTCCAGGAGATGCCCTGTGAGTGGTGCTGAGCGCTCCGACTGCCTCTCCCTTCTATGTGGTGGGACAGATGGGATGGTTCCTTGAGTCTTTCAATTTCCAGGAACCACAGAACTATTGCAAGGTACCCAGTTCTCTAGAGAGAGAGAGGCTACATAAAGTTATTCCCCAGATGGATAGAATTCAGACTGGACAAGTATCAAACCAGTAGAGGAATTTTCTCTGATGTTGCAAGAACTTTCTCCCCGCTCAAAAGACACAGAACCGAATCTCTGCTGAATCACCTCTCAAATCGATGTGGAGTTGATGGAGGGGGTGAAAAGTTGGCTATCAGTAGACTGGGAGAGTGTGGGCCTGGGGTCTGGCCCCAGCCCTATGAGCATGTGGACCTTGGGCTCCCCATCTATGGCAGTAGGAGGTCAGCGAGGCATCTCCAACACTTCAGGATTCTGTGACACCCTTCCCAGGGGCTCATAGTGGGTTGGGTAGGTCAAAGAAGGTAAATTTTCTCCCAACTGGGTCAAAGCTTCTCAAGTTGTAGAAGAGGGGGGATTGGGGCCATGGGGTGGTGAGGCTCTGGCTTCAGCTTAGGGTGTGTATTGTTGGGGGGGGGGGATATGAGAAGGGAGGATAAAGTGCAGCTCCCACAGACCCTCTGTCTCCTAACTGGGTTGGGGGGGTGTGGCAGTTAGGAGCCAGGGACACCGTGAGTCCCCTACACCCACTGTTATTGCCCTGTGTGTGTGGTGGGTCACACACCATTTATGAGTTTGTATCTACGTGTGTGATCGAGTGGATGGGTTCAGCTCCAAGTGTTAGGGCATGAAGGTCACATGTCCGTGGCAGAGTATGTCATGTGTACGTATGACTAAGACCTGGTAGGACCATTTGTGACTGTGTGCCCATTATATGAACATACGTGACCTGGTGTGTGAGATCACTGTACTCATACATGTGATCATTAGCACTCATGTATATCTGCTTATGTCAATGTGAAAGAAATACACATGAGCTAAAGTGACTGTGTGTGTGTGTGAGAGAGAGAGAGAGAGAGAAAGGTGGGGGGGGGGGGGAGAAACAGGCCAGCAAACAGTCATATCAGCGGTCTCATTGACTCATGGTTAGTAGCTATTCCAATATCCCAGAAGCTGGGGTGGTTTCAGAGAAGACATTCCTCCTCACCACCAGCCCATCCCCACTCCCAGGACCCCCATCCCATCTGCTAGTGATGCCGGCCTTCTCAGCCGTCCCTCTCCCAGTGGGACTTCCTGAAAGGTAAGTAGGACGAAGCAGGAGGAATAAAGTTCCCCTTTGCGCAGGCTGGTGTTTTGAACATCCCCTCCCCAATTTACCATTGGGTGTGATCAAGAGAGGAGGTTGCCAGCATAGCCAACTCCCCCCTCCCCACTGCTTTTGGAGGCTGTGTTGCCGGCCCCACTCCCAGCCTCCCCATCCCTGTCAGCATCTCCACTCGTCATTTGCCCAGGCCTCTAACCAGTGACAGCAAATGGCTCCTTTGGTATAGTCCTTATCTGAGTGCCTCTTCCTACCTATGAAGCTCCGTAGGCAGCAAAGCGCCAGCAGGGGAAAGCCCTGCAAACCTTCCACTCGTCTTCTGCTCCCCCCACCCCCAGGAGGAGAGGGTGTCTAGTGGGACCTCACTGCAATGCTGAGGAGGTTGCCATGGAAACCCAGGCAGGATGGTGTGCTGCTAGGAGAGGCAAAGTGCCCCGTGTTCCCTGCAAGGCTTAAGGGGGGCTGGGGTGAGGGTAGAGGGCCCTCCAAACAAGAGGTACAGAGACACCGAGTAAGCTCTCACCGCATGGCTTCTGGAGTTCCTCTGCAGACCTCTCTTTCAGAACCAAGGTCAATTCAGGCCAACCTAGTGGTCCCTCTCAGTCTTGCTTCCCTAACGGCCCCTCCAGCCCGCCACACACATCTCTTTCCACATTCAGGCCCACATTGAGAATGTGGGTTAATGTGAGAGTGGCTAAACTTCACATGGGGTTTTTTATTGGTTCTGTGAAGGAATCAGAGTCACAGGTGGATTGCGAGGTCGGGGTGTGATAGGGTTCATGAGGGTAAGGGGGAAAGCAAATCTGGGAATGCCAGAGAAAGCAAACTTTCCAGAAGAGAAAGGAGCACATAACCATTTGGGGCAAAGGCTGGAATTGCGTTGGGAAGGTGGCCATCAGGGAGCCTGGCAGGGATGAGGCTGAGTGAAGGCTGCAGGGCTGGTCTCCACCTGGTGATCCCCCCACCCTGCAGCCCCAGCTCACCTGTGCCCCTGCCTCCAGTTCGAGTCCTGCCCATCCTGCCCCTTCCCAGGAGGTGACTTTGGCAGCACGCTCTCCGAAGCCTCTTCAGCGATCTGACCTTGTTCCCTTTCTGTGCTTTTGGGGGGGGTCACAGAAGGGGCCACCAAGAAGCTGCGCAGCAACATCCGGAGGAGCACAGAGACAGGCATCGCCGTGGAAATGCGGAGTCGGGTCACACGCCAGGGCAGCCGAGAGTCTACTGATGGGAGCACCAACAGCAACAGCTCCGAGGGCACGTGCGTGCAGCCCATGCCCACCGTGGTCCCCGCCCCACCCTCCTGCACCCTCCAGGGGCAGGGCTGGGAAATCTTCCTGTGGGGGTTTCCAGTCCGGATGTCCGGGTTCTTCTGTGTCCCTGCCCGCCCTGGATGTCCGCCGCCTAGGCCCCAGTCTTCCTCTGCTCCAGGCTGCTGTTTCCCCTCCAGATACCCCCCAGCAGCCCCAGGGCAGTGTATCCCATCTGTATGTCTCATCCCCACCCCCTACCCCCTCCCCCCCCAGCACCTACATGCTGCCTTGCTCCAGAGGAGAGGGCTCGAAAGGAAAATGTGATCCTAAAATTCTTCTCTGAAACCATTGTTATGGCTCAGATGAATGGAGTTCTCGCAAGTGGTCTTGCCTGGGGCTTAGAGGAGGAGGTTGGACTAGATCAGTGTTTTTCAAACTGTGGGTGGTGACTCAGGCAGGAAGTAAAATCAGTTTAGTGGGTCAAAACCAACATTAGAAGAAGAAATGGAAAATTCAAACATATCCTGTGGAGTGAGGATGAATTACCTTGGGAATTTTTGTTTTTTTAATATATGGATACACAGAGGTCCATGGTGTTAAATATATTTCTTCTGTTGCCTGGGGGAGGGGGGAGGGGGGGGTTACAGTTAAAAATTTGAAAGTCACTGGGTTAGATATTCCCTTGGTCTCTCCTAAATCTATGCAACTGGTTATATGACTAAGATTTTTTGGTTTGGCTTCATCAAGGCCCATTGACTTTAGGACCCTGTGGCTCTATTATTTAGGATTCTGTGACCTCATATGTCACTACTGTGCCCACTTCCATGAATGCAAATGGCCAGTGACATTTATTGCATCTTACTGTATGCAGGGCATCAGGTGAGTGCCTTTTACTCTGGGGTCTACCAGCTACTATCAGAGCAAAAATAGTATCTCATTTAACACAACAACAACACAGGGGGATGTCGGTACCATTATAACTCCATTTTATGGGTGGAGAGACTGAGGCATGGGAAGAGGGTAAGGTCCTTTACCCCAGGTCACAGCCATTCGGTGGTGGTGGAGTCAGGATTTGAATGAAGGCCATTGGACTCTGTAACCTTTTTTTCACAACCTCTACGCTCTCTCTAATTCTGTGACCTTGAGAGTCTGTTACTTTATGTATGTAACCTTCTCAGATCCCACTTTCCTCAGAATTCAGTATGAGGCTATTGCTGCTGGCCAGTAAGAGCGGGTGGGCCTCGAAGCCCCTTCCCAGGAAGTAGAGCCCAGCCAACTTCCTAGTTGGGGAGATCCAGGCCCTCTTCAACAAGGGTATGTCCTGTGTCTTTCTCCCTGCCTGTCACTGGCCAAGGGGAACTCAAGGCCAAACTCTCCAACAGGGAGTCATTCTGGGACAACCTGATCTCTCAGGCCAGGAACCAAGGCTATGCTAGGAGGTCTTAGAACTTCGGTCCTTCGTAGGTCCTGAGAAGACCCGGGTCAGCCCTCTAGTATCTGGCCTTTGTCTGCTGGCCACCTCCAGAACATCTAGGCTTGAGGACATGAACAAGTAGCACTTCCCCCTTGATGTTAACGGCAGCAACGTAATAACTACCATTTTTTTTGTTTCCTGTTTGTCTGGGGCTTTCATGCATCACCTGCCCTGATCTTCCCCCTCCCCCCCGCCATGACCCTATGAGTTGGGCATCCTCTCTGTTTTGAAGCCAAGGCAAGTCTCTCACCTCTTGGAGCCTCTGTTTCCTCATCCGTAAAACTGAATAATAGCCCCTGGAGCGTGGAAATGGCTATAAGGGTGAAATAATATAATGTATGCTGAGCATTCAGTGTGCTGCTGGCGTCTGGCCAACTTTCAATCACTGTCAGTTTGCTTGTTACTATTTCCAGGCCCCCACAGCCAGGGACCACCCACCATCACTCGCCTTTTATCTCAACCCTGTAATTGTGTTATTTTGGTCTCGGCTGCTGTTTGGGGCACCACCTCAGATTATTGACTTGGATTTCAAACATATGGTCAACTAAACCTCGGTTCTCGGAACTTGCTCCAGGCATTGAAATTCCTGGCCTATGTTTCTGGTTCTTGGCATCCATACCCCCCTGGGGAGGACACAGGTGCCCAGCAAGCCCTGCCTTCTAAGGGTTATCTTAGAAATCCTGGTGCTTGAGGATTGAATAACATTATTATCTTTATTATTTCTCAAGAGACATCAAAGTATTTTTCTTCAATGTGCAGAGATGAGCAGTTCGGTTTGTTCCCAGCTAAAGTAGTGTTCTCGTACTGTGTAGGGGGTGGGGAATTGAGGCACAGAGGGGCATGGCCCAGTGTCCTTGGGGCAAAGCCACTGCATCTCACTATCTAGACCACCTCATACCCCTCTGCCTCTTCCTCCAGGTTCATTTTCCCCACCACCCGGCTCGGGGCTGAAAGCCAGTTTAGTGATTTCCTGGATGGGCTGGGACCAGCCCAGATTGTGGGGCGACAGACATTGGCGACACCACCAATGGGTGAGTCTCCTTGAGGGCAGAGCGAGTAGGGCGGAAGGGGTGAGCTCGGTGGGGGCCCTGTGTGATACAGTGTGAGCTGCAGAGAGGAGCCCTCACTCCGGCTTTTGTGCCCCGAGAAGGAGCCCGGCACTCCTCAGTCTGTCTCTCATCAGACAGACTACTGCTGCTACTATTGCTCTGCTGGCTACCCTGCAGCAGCTTTATAGCACACCCCTGCCCTCACCACCACGCACCTCCCCACCCCCCACTCTCCCACCACCTGCTACCCGCCTGGCGGTGCTGAGTGCTGGGCGGAAAACGGTGAACAAAAATCATCACAGCATTGGTGTTCACCAAGTCCATTCTGCCACTGATGCTCTGTGTAAGCTTGGCCACGTCACTTCCCTTCTTTGGGCCTCAATTTCCTCATCTGTAAAATGGGAATAATAATACCTGCCTTAGTACTGCAATCTGACAACAATTCACTGAGTTCCTATTCGCTGCTTTGAGTGAAGTATTTCATTAACTCCTTAGAAAGTGTGTCTTCTTTGACTTGTTACTTAATAGTGCCTGGCACCTAAAAGCCTTTTAAGTAATTTTTTCATCTCCCTTCCTTGCAGCTAGGACCTATTTCCCGGAGTCTACACTTGGTCCTTTTAGCTGCACTTCTCGTCCCCTCCCTCTCTCTTTCCCTCTCTTAGATACTGTGTTGGCTTTAAGCATCTCCTCCCAGGAACTAGCTTCCCCATCAGTCCTACCTAGGAGTCTGACCCAGACATCTGGACTCAGTCTTCATTTGAACAGTGTTCAGATGTTGACCTCACAGGTTCAAAGTGTTGAGGTTCAAAGTGCTGACGTCACAGCCCATGAGAGAGCTGGGCTCAGACAGTGCTCTGCCGTAAGCCAAGCTGTGGAGCTGGGTTTCTATCCCACCATACTGCCCTGTCTTGCTCTAATGTGCTTACACAGGAGGCTTTGTCTGCTGGAAGGGGGGGGGGGGGTCCACGGGGACCCCTCAGCTCTCCTCTGGCTCTTGGGTAGGATTTGGCTAATTCCCAGCCCTTGCTTACAGGCTCTTACAGGCCTGGGGAATCTGCTTTTCCCAGCCCTAGGCCCAGCCAGGGGCTGGGAGGCAGTGAGAGGAGCCAGCCATATCCACAAGGCTTTTGCACCACCACAGCCTAGCACATTTGTGTGTGGCGCCGCCTGGTGTCTAGAAGTGGAAAGGACAGGCTTGTATTTGCTCATCTTGTTAGGGATGTTACAGTGAGACCTCCCCCTTCCCACTCCCCCATGGGGAGGTCAGAAATAGCTAGAGGGAGGGCGATGACTTCCAGGAGGTTTCCTGAAAGTAATAAATCCCCATCTTCCCAAGTATGCAAATACAAACAATTGCACGATAGCTCAGTGTATCTAAAACGGGTGGCTGAACCCAAAGTCTGGCCCATTTTCATCTTTCCGCATCAGGCTTATGATTCTGCACTCCTTTGAAGGATGCTCCAAGTGACTAATGCATAATTTCAAATTCTGCTAACTGGTGTCGAACAAAGCGAAGAGTTCTAGAAATAACTGACATGACTTCACACAGAACTTGCCTCAGCGAGATAATCGTTTGTGGGAGCATAGTGAGGAATTCTGAGCTCTCTGCTCCCAGGAAAGCCGGCCTTTCCTCCCTCCTTTGGCAAGGGTACGAACAGGCCCCTTGTTCCCAGGCAGGGGCCTCCTGTCCCACACAAGCTCCTATCTCTGCGTCTCTTCAAACTGATATTTTGTCTATATTCGTTTGACAAAATGTATTTTGGGGCGTGGTGGAGGGCTGCTGTGTAGAGGTGAATAAGAGCCGCTAAACCCACAGCCTCCCTCGCTTTCTTCCTGACGCCGGAAGTTCTGTCCCCAAACCTGCTGTCCTGTTCGGTGAGACAGAAGCCCCCCAGGAAACCAGCCTCGCCTGGGAATTTGGCAGCCATTTGTTGTTACTCAAGCATGGCCCCCACCGAGGGCCATGCCCCTGCCTCTCCTCAGGGGACCTATCAAAGTATTTCACAGCCTGCTCTCAAGTAGCCTCCCGAGAGCAATCCTGGCACATGCAATTTTTTGCATATTGTGCCCTTTCCAGTGCTGTAGCGTCCTCTGCGGACGACGTTCTCTACAGCAGCTGGCCGGCCTGCCCCTGCGTCTGCCTCTGCCTGGACTGTCCCTCTTCTCCCTTGCAGGGGACGTGCACGTTGCCATCATGGACCGGAGTGGCCAGCTGGAGGTGGAAGTGATTGAGGCCCGGGGCCTGACCCCCAAACCAGGCTCCAAATCCCTCCCAGGTAAGGCAGAGCAGCAGGGAGAGGGGTTTTCGATCTGGGGTCCTGCCAGGGAGGGGTATGCAACTGAGCTCCGAGTCTAGCACATCCTCAGCTGCCCCTTGGCCTAGAGCCATGTTCTCGACTTGGCTTGCCTGGAAGGCCAGTGGACAGGGTTGGGGGGAGGGGAGGACAGACGAGTCAGTGTTTGAGTCCATCTTTTCTACTGCTGTCCACTGGTCAGCTCGTCCCACTCACCTTGGTCACCTCCAGGGCCAGCTGGATGTACGGGGGTGGGGCAGGGCATAGCATTCTCTCCTGGACCCTTCCCATCATGCTCTCTCCTGTCCCGCAGCCACCTATATCAAGGTTTACCTGCTTGAGAATGGGGCCTGCTTGGCCAAAAAGAAGACAAAGGTCGCCAAGAAGACCTGTGACCCCCTGTACCAGCAGGCTCTGCTCTTTGACGAGGGGCCCCAGGGCAAGGTGCTGCAGGTGAGTGTGATGGGGCAATCCTCAAAAACCGCAGGTTGTCATTTCAGATCTCTCTCACGTACGATGTGTCCCGTGCTGGGCACCGTACCAGGTGCATTGATGCGCTTTACACGTTTGTTTTCACAGCCCAGGGAGGTGTTATTGCCCCTGGTTGATTCATTAGGAAACCAGAGCTCAGGGGGACAGCTCCACTGTCCCCCAGGTTGCCCTGCTGGTAGGTAGAAGCAGGGTGTGACCGCCGCCTTCTCTTTCCAGCCGGCGCTAATGTCTGTTGCTCATCAGCTCCATGCCAGGCTCTGTGTTAAGTGCTTTCCAGTCCTGACCTCCTTTTGTGCTCGAGATGGTCCTGGGAAGTAGGTATGATGATCCCCATCTTGCAGTCTCAGAAAGGGGAAGTGACTCGTGTGAGGTTTCAGCTGGTAACTTGCACAGCCAGGGTGACCCCGGGGCCGAGGTGACCTCGCCCCAACTGCCTAAGAGTGCGGTGCCCTCCGCAACAGCACTGGGAGGGAGGGATCATCACCCCCAGCCGCAGATGAGGCGCCTGAGGTGCTCGAGAGGCTAAGTGGGGATAGTTCACAGTGGGGCTGGGCTCTGGGTTCAGTCCTGGGTTCAAGTTCCAGCTCCATCACGGTCTGCGGGTGGTATGTTGTGAAGAGTAAACAAGAGGTGCATGTGAAGAGCCTCACATAGCGCCTGGCGCACAGACAGCTACTCGCTAGGTATTGGCGGTGGTGGCTGTGGCTGTTGGCCTTGCCGGAGGCCATGTGGGTGGCGGAGGGGAGGCCTGAGACAGGGACTGTCTGGGCTGTGCGACTGCTCATCTAGGGCCCTTCCTCTGGGCTGAGGCGGTTGCATGGCAACAGCCCTCAGAGTTGCAAATGGCAAGGGCTGTAGAACTCCAGGGTTCTGTGGGGGAAGGGGTGATCTTGGGTGTCTGTTTCCATACACACACGCACGCATATATTGGGATTCCGCTTTGTAAAAAGGATCCACCGATAAAAACACAAGTGTGAAAATCACTGAGCTCATCTAGTCCCCTCTTCCAGTTTTATGGACGGGGACACTGAGGTCCAGCGAGGGCCAGGGGTCTCCCCAAGCTCCACCATGAGCCAGCGGCAGACTGGGAGCTATGACTCAGGTCCTGGACTCTCAGTCTGCTCCTTAATGGGGAAGGCTGTCATCTGGGATTCTGGGAGGCTCTGGAAGGCAGACCCAGGTTCTCATCCCAGCTCTGCCACCAATTACGGTATATCTCTGGGTTAGTTAATCAACCTCTCTGAGCTCCAGTGTCCTCTTTGTCAAAATAACGATACACAACACCTTTACCTAGATGGTTGTAACAATTGAGATAATAGATATAAGTCTGTAGGATCCAGCCTGTGGCACATCTTAAGTGCTCAGTAAGCTGTTGCCCCAGATCAGTCTTCGTTCCAGCTCTCTCTGTCTCATCTGTGCTCTGGTGAAACTTGCAGGTTCCTGGGCCCACTACTGAGCCCTGGAGTCAGGGAGTTGGCTCAGTGCCTCTGTCTCACCAGCCACCCCCAACCCCTCCGGCAGGTGATCGTCTGGGGAGACTACGGCCGCATGGACCACAAATGCTTCATGGGCATGGCCCAGATCATGCTGGACGAGCTGGACCTGAGCGCCGCGGTCGCCGGCTGGTACAAACTCTTCCCTACGTCCTCAGTGGCAGACTCTTCGCTTGGATCCCTCACCAGGCGCCTGTCCCAGTCCTCCCTGGAGAGTGCCACCAGCCCCTCGTGCTCCTAAGGACCTCCAGAAGAGGCCAGGATGTAGTGTGGGAAGGGATGCCTGATGGCCTCCCCTCCCTTGTACATAGTCTTTGTGTCTTTCTGGCCCCCTTGCCCTGCTGCATGCCTGTTGGCTACTGGGCCCGTCCCAGCTGGCAGTGGAGACTGTAGTGTGTGTGTGTGTGTGTGTGTGTGTGTGTGTGTGTCTGTGTGTGTGTCTGTGTGTGTGTGTGTCTGTGTCTGTGTCTGTGTGTGACCACGTTATATCTGTTCATCTGTCTGGGTACGGTCAGTCTTGGTGACTACATGGGCTACAATCCACATCCCTCTGTGTCTTGTTGAAAAGAAACCCAAAGGAGTGTTGTGTGGGCACCAATCCCCCCTGAGTCCAGGGGTAAAAATGGGGGCCGTGGCCGCCAGTCCGTCCTGCCTGGCCCTGTGCCCGGGGCCGAGCCCACATGTCCCCGCCCGGGCCGCCTCTTGGCGGTCCCTGCTTAGTTTTCTGTCTTGTCCTTCGTTCCACCTTTGCTTCTCCCAGCACCACTGCTCTCTTTTGAGGAATGTAGCACCCACTGCAGCTGGCCACCCTGAGTCCCCTCTGGGACCCGACGCCCTCCTCCCCACCCGAGTGCTCTGGCAGCTCTTCCCACTGAATGCATCTGCAGCATGTGCCATGCTCATCTGGTGCCCTGGCCAGGGGCCTGGGGAGCAGAGGATGCCCAGGGAGCTGAGGGCTTGGAGACCATCTTCTCCCCCTCGGGTCGGAGCTGCCTCCTTCCTATGGGTGAGACGCTAGGAAGTCTTAGTTCCCAGGGTTGCTGGCCAGGCCCCTTAGAGGGAAGTGCTGGCACCTCCCTTAGGCATGTTCTTCACCTCCTGTCTTCCTCCGAACCTCCTCACTTCCAACATGCCAAAGGAGCTCTCCCAGTGGATCCCAGGAGGTGTGGACGTGGAGGGTCTTGACATCCAGGAGGCTGGCCTCAGAAGGGGGATGTTATCCGCCCCAGCAGATGGTCCCTGGGGGCACCTGTGTCCTCTCCAGGCCCTGGGGGTGGTCCTGTCCCTCTCTGGGCTCATGCTGGGGGGGCTGGCTTGTGGAGGAGGTGCTGAGGGTGGGGCTGCTTACTGGAATGGGGGGCGCTGGGGCTGACCTGCCCTGTGCCCCTTGAGAATCCCGTCTGACCTTTGGGGATTAGCTGCATGAGGTTGATCATTTGGGTCTCTCTTTGTTTGCTCATTTCCAGACCAGGGTCCCTGTGTGGGAGCTCAGACTCACTTGGGCTCCAGCCTTCTGGCCCCATGGACAGCCTGGCTCTGGACTCAGCTAGACTGCCATAGACACCAGCTCTGTACAAGCAATACTTTCCCCTTTCTGCCTCCCCACCTCCTTGCGCTCCGCAGCTGCGCTCTGGAGAGTGGCCTGGCCGGCCCTAGGCGCCTCACCTGCCTCTGCTTTCTTTCTACCCTTGTCTGGAGCTTCCCAAAGCCACTCTAAAACCCTGACTTCATTTGACAGCTGGGCCCTGTGGGTGGGGACCGGGGCCTGGACTGGCCCTGTGAGATGTCTGCTAGGAAATGCCCAAATCTGTCCTCTTCCTCCTCGGGTCTAGGGCAAAAGGCTAGAGGTTGCCCAGGGGATGGACACAGTAGCCCTTGGGTCTGCGTCTGGTGGGGAGCCAAGAGGTGGCAGGAGGGGTCAAGGTGTGGAGAAGACTGTCCCTCTGCCTCTTCCCCCGGCGTCAGCCCCACGTGTTGCGATGACTCTGACCCACCTACTCGAGGTGGAGGGGAGCTACCCCGCCGAGCAGTGGAGGGAGGGGTCTCTGGGCCTGAGTGCTTGGGCTCCATTTGTAACCAAAGCTGGATGGATGGGCAGAGTGGCGGATTCTGAGGGCAGGTGGAGGTGGAAGCGTCTCTGCCCAAAGGGCCTCCTTTCCTGGCAGGAAGCCACATCAGGTTAAAGCCAGAGCCCGGTCACCTCTCTCCCAGGAAAACCCCATCGGCCCTGCCCACAGACAGAAAGTGGGTACGGGCAGTAAGAAATGAACCGAATGGGCTCCTGGCTCCTGCCAGAGCCTCCGTCCTTGTCTGATCACAGATGAGGACTGCTGTGGGCGTAGAGCGAGGGAGGAGGCAGCTGGGTCGAGTTTTCTCTTTAGGCAGAAATTCTCTCCTGTTGTCGGGACTGGGTAATGCATGCATTTCTCATGTTTCTAAAAATAAGGCGAAGGGCTCTACTCTTTGACCCTAGGGTAGGGAAAGGGAGGAAACTCGCTCACAAAAGGGTATTTTTTTGTTTTGTCCGTGAGGTGTTCACCTTCAGAGCGACCTCCCTCAGGACGGTGTGAACGTACTCTACACTTTTGGAATGGGGGGATTCGTAGTGATCCACAGGATAGTGTAGACATTTGCTGATGTAGCACTGAGTGGTGAGACCCAGACCACACAGTCATCCCCAGGGAACGGGGGATATCACTGAGGGGTATCACCTTCATTCCTCTAGGGGCCCAGGAAGACAGAGAAGGTGGAGCGCTGCCCGCAGAGCAATGGCCTCTGGGTAGCTGCAGGCAACGATGCCCTCACCTCTGGGGGAGGGTTGGTTAGCACCGTGGAACTTCTAGCCAGAGATGGGGCGTGACGTGTGGTGACTTGGGCCTGCCTACAGTCTCCCACCTCTCTAGTGGGAAGCAATCCTCCCCGGGTAGACCTTAGGGAATTATTCTTTTTAACCCTTGGCACCAAATAAGTTACTAATCCCCAGTGGATTCCCTCCCCCCCCCCGCCCCCCATGATGGTGAGGTCACATGAGACTGATGTGTGTGTGACGGTGAATGGCTGGATTTAAGGGTCTGTTTCTCACCCTCCTGGATCCAGGGGTTTGTCTGAGAAACCGTTTGGGAGCAAGCCTGTCCCAGGAGGGGAGGGAGCACTAGTGAGACTCCTGTCCTTCCCTGGGGAGGGCAGCATCTTTGAGGAGAGGATGGTGGGGAAGGAAGGAACCATCTCCTCCAGAGTTCTCCCTGAACTGGGACCGACTCGCTGCCAGGTACAGCCTCGTGGCTCTGAAGGCCTCCTCACCCCAGGTGAAACCCAGAGCTGAGTACAGGATGGGACTCTGCCATTCCCCTTCCTCTGCTCAGGCAGGATTCGTGGAGGATGTGGCAGAGATGGGGGTGGCCCCGCGGCATTGCTGGGCTGTGGGCAGGAACCGTGACGGATGATTCAGAGCATCTGTCTTCACGTTTCTGCTCTGTTCCATGTGTCCTACTTCCTTCTTAGACTCCTTCCCTACAGGAAGGTCTGAGGGCCTTTGGTGTGAATCAGGCTCCAGTAAACGGGGCCAAGTCTAGGTTGGACAAGGGGGATTTGATCCTTCAGGGAAGAACCATCTCCAAAACGACTCCCCGTGCGGTCTCTTCCACCTCCCAGTTCTCCCAGGAAAGGAGTGGTGGGCTAAGGAGGCCCTCTGGGGGCATGCCAGCATTCCAGGGGGGTGAGGCAGAGCCCCGGGGCTCCGGAGAGAGGGCACCCGTGTAGCCCATCGCTGGTGGGATCGCCGGTTCTCCCAGGGGCATGACGCCTGCCAGGGCCAGCCTCCAGGAGAGCAGGCCCCTCCCCCACCCCTTAAAGACACTAGAGACCTCCAAGGGTCCGTCTTTGGAAATGAAATGTAGCACAATCTTAGACTGCGTTACCAGGAGCCCTGACCCGCGACCGGGGCTCTTGCTCCTCGCCCTGCTGCCCGGGAGACGCTGAGCTCCTCCCCCACCCTGGGACTCCGGGGCTCCCGCTGCCTCCCATTCCCTCTCTTCCTCGGCCCAGAAAGCAGCAGAGCTTCAGTAAGGCTGCTCTTCTGTGTCTCTGATTGCTTCCTGCACTGTGCAAACTCTGTGCAAGAAATGGCTGCCTTTGCTTGATGGTGTAGACGAGGTGCCCCCCGCCTGGGCGCGGGAGATGGTGTACCATTCCGGGCCAGGTTGTCCAGCAGCGTTTCCGCGGCGTCTGCAAGGAGCCGGAAAAGAAGAGGCCTGCCTCCCGGCCCGACTCCTCCCTGTATCTCCCTCTCCTCGCCGTCTTCTCCAATATCCTGGCCCGCAAAGAGGTTCTCTAAAATGCTGCTTCCTGTACCGGATTCTCTCTCACTGAACGAAGAGGGAAGTGATGGGCGTGTAGACTCCCCCCCCCCTGCCTTCTCCCTCAAGTCTGCTTTTCACTCAGGTCAGAAGAGGACGGGGCAAAACCAAACACTCACGACTGAAGGCAGGGGGGTCCCGCCCAATCAGGCGAGGCCTGATGGCGGCTGGATTGGCCTGGTCTGGCTGGGAAAGGGTTATTTTGAGAGTGCCTGAGCATCTCAGAGCAATGTCGGTGATGCCAAAGAGAGCAACTCGGTCTCCCCCCCGGGCACCGACTGGGCCGCAGGTGTTGGCGTGCCTGATGGTGGGACCTTGTTCTCTGACAAAGGGCTTAATCTTTCCATGTAGCAAAGCAACTCCTTCTCCCCACCCCCCCCCCCCCCCCCCAACCCTGAGCTCGGGCTTTTGTGGGCCCAGAGTGGCTGTGCCTGTGAGGAGAACCACACCAGTAAGAGAATTCTGTCAGGGGCCTAGACTAGCTTGGGGCGATGCTTGTTGAAAAGTGCGTTACTGCTTTGGGAAAACATTCCGGGGCTCTAGTTGGAAACTTAGCCAGTAAGGCCAGGGGCCCTGGTCCCCACCCCCCACCCCCACCCCAAGGAGTCCACCCCGTTGTCAGGAAGGGTCCGCGAGACTGGGGCCCAGAGAGTTTGGCTAACAGAAATGGGCCCTGGGAATCCATGGGCAACAGAGCATCCGCCCCACGGGTCAATGGCCTGGACGGCTGGTTACAGGGAATGGAAGGCTGTTATATACAGTTTTGTCCAAAACTGTGACCTTGTGCAAGACTCCTCTCTTTTCCGGGCCTCAGCTTCCTCATCCGCAAAATCAGAGCATTTGCTAGTTGCTCCATGGTTCCTTCCAGGTTTTAAAAGTCTGATCTGGAGCTGAGGAGGGTTTTGAGCCTGGTGCACCTGGTTCCACGGGCCGGAACCTTCCAGCCCCTCGTGCCCCAACTGGGTGCAGGTCCTCATCCGTCCATGCCCAGATGCTGCTTCTGACAAGAACTCTGGGAATCCTAACAGACTCTGCTTCCCCCTCTTCGTGGTTTGTTCTCCCTCTTTTCTTCTTGCATAATGATGAGAAATAATTAAGGGTTGTCTACAATGGACAATTTTCACGGTGCTGATGTGATGTCACAACCTCAGCTGCACCCTGCGTAGGTCAGTATCCCCACCAGCAGATGAGACCGGGTCAGTCCTCATTTCTGCTTCTAGAATGACATCCGTGGGAGAGTTGAACACCTGAGGACGTTGAAGGCAATGGTCTCTGATGGGAGGAGAGAGGGCACTTACTTCCTGTCAAAGTATTTTGCTTCTTAAAACCGTTCCTCTCTCCAGAATCTCTCACCAGACATCATCTCCGCAGGCAGAGTGGCTGCTTCCTTAGGAAAAGTTGGCCTGATTATTCCATCCACTCCTTTAGAATGTAAATTCACAGGAGGCAGGAACCCCTTTTTTAGAATTTCCAAATGCATCCTGCAAAGAAAGAGATAGCTGATAGGGACTGACAAGCACACTGTTTAGATAAGAAGCAATTAGCCTTTTATATCTGCGCTCTATACATTTTCTATGTGCAGCATCTTCCCAAACTTGCTGTGGCTCCTAGGTGGCAGGTGGACGGCTGGGAGGACTGCCGGCTGTTTCGTCCAACATTCTTGCCAATTCCCTTGAGGAGAAAATTCTTCACATGGCTTCTGCATGTACAATATTTGGGCAGCAAAAAAAAAAAAAGATTAAAGTCAGTTTGAAAATGGTTTTGTGTGTTGCCTTCTGAAGACGGTTCTTAATTCTGCGAGAGAGAAAACCGGGTTCCAGGTGACTAAAACGAGGAGGACGATGTGAAGGCTGAGAGGCAGGAGAGGGCAGTACGTCTCGGAACAGGGCCTGAAACCTCGACCTGGGTCTCTGAGTCCTGTGCGGGAACTCTGTTGCCACAGGGATGTCCGTGGGCCATGGAATGGGACTGGGCCGGGCAGCTTCCTGGCTGTCTCACAGGGTTCCTGCTTACAGGCCCTCAAAGCCTTCTCTCCCCACAGACTCCGCAAGGGATGCCCAGAGTCAAATAGAGGGGAAGGTAATGTGGAGCTAAGGCCACTGCTTTTGACCCCTCATACATTGCTTTCTGAGCTCTCAGGTCCAGGAGCTCTGCTCATGCATATGGTGGGGACAGTCTTGTTTATTTCAGCCACTCGATACCAGCAGTAAACATAGCAGTTGACCTCCACCCGTGAACTACAGCAACCATTGACCCCTGGAGCACCCCTTCCCCTCCCTGTCAGGAAGGGACAGAAAGGTATGTTAACATTTAGTCACTTCTGGCCAGTGTCATTGTCCTCCTGGGGCTGGGGCTGTGGGTACGGGAGATGGGTAAAGGAAGTGTCCCAATGTCACATGCTTGCCAGGGGCAAGGCTGGCATCCTCCACCCCAAGGGTCCTCCAGCATGACCACTGCCTTGGCTCTGGCCCGTGGCCTTGCAGTTCCAGGGGGCACCCTCTCTTGAGAGAAGGGTCATGAGGCCAGGCTCACTATATGAGCTCGAGTGCTTCCCAGGGTTCTGTCTTTCATTTCTTTTCCACTTCTGCTCTCTGCGTTATCTGGGTGGGCCCAATCTAATCACTTGGGTCCTTAAAAGTGGAAAACTTTTCCCAGCTGTCATCAAAATAAGATATGATTGCAGAGGAATGGTCAGAGACGTGTGGTCTGAGAGAACTGAAAGACTAAATATATGGAGAGTAAGTCATACCATGTTCATGGATTGAAAGACACAACACTTATGAAGATGTCTATTCCCTCCATATTTATCACCAGATTCATTGCACTTTCAGTAAAAGTCCCAACAGGCTTTTTGAAGAAATTGACATACTGACTAAAGTTTATTTGGAAATGCAAAAGACCTTGAATAGCTAAAGCAATTTTGGAAAAGAAGAACCAAGTTGAAAGAATTATGCTACCTAAGACTTACATAAAGTAACAGTGTATTGGCGTATTGGCGGAAGGATGGACCTATAGACCAATGGAACAGAACAGTGTGCAGAAATAGACTTATGCATGGCCAATTGACTTTTACAAAGATGCCAAGTAATCTTGCCAACAAATGGAGCTACAGCAGCCAGATATTTGCATAGAAAAATATGAATCTTGACCTTCCACATTGTACACAAAACTAACTCAAAATGGGTCATAGACCTAAACATAAAAGTTGAAAACTTCTAGAAGAAAATGTGGGGGAAAAATGTTCATAACTTTATGGTAGGCAGTGGTTTCTTAGAACATAAAAAGCACTTAACCCTGAAATATAAAGATAAATTGGATTTCATCAAAACTAAAATCTCTTTAAAAGACACCATTAAGACTCCTAATAAAATGATAATTTCATAAGAGAACCAAAGTAAAAAGGGGCAAAAGGTCAGAACAAATGTATCACAAAAGAAGATATACAAATTGCCAACTGGCACATAAAAAGACACGCAACATCTGGGCGCTTGGGTGGCTCAGTCGGTTAAGCAGCCACCCATGACCTAACTTCAGCTTAGGTCATGATCTTGCATTCCTGAGTTCGAGCCCTGAGCCAAGGCTCTGTGCTGACAGCTCAGAGCCTGGAGCCTGTGTCTCCCTCTCTCTCTGCCCCTCCCTGCTCATAAAATGAGCTCTCTCTCTCTCAAAAATAAATAAACATTTAAAAAAATTTTTAAAGGGGTGCCTGGGTGGTTCAGTCGGTTAAGCGACCAACTTCGGCTCTGGTCATGATCTCATGGTTCGTGAGTTCAAGCCCCATGTTGGGGCTCAGAGCCTGGAGCTGTTTTGGATTCTGTGTCACCTCTCTCTCTGCCCCTCCCCCACTTGTACTCTTTTTCTCTCTCTCTCAAAAATAAATAAACACTTTTTAAAAACCCACTCATCACCATTATTCGTCAGGGAGCTGCATAGCCACGAGCATAGCTGAAATTAAGGACTGGCAATATGAAGGTGCTGGCATGGAGGTGAGCAGGACTTTTGCTGAAAATATTAAATGGTACAACTACTTTGGAATATGGTTGGGCAATTTCTCTTAAATATCTTACACACTTACCACATGACCCAGCAATTCCTCTTCTGGGTGTTTATCAGGAAAAATGACCACATATGTCCACCCAAAGGCAAAAATGTTCATGGCAGCTTTATTCATAATAGCCAAAAAACTGAAACCATACAAATGTCTAACATATCTGTCAAGGTTCAATCAGAGGACAGGAGCCACACAGTAATTTGAATACGGAAAATTTAATCATAAAAATTATTACCTTAGCAGTGGAATAACCCTAAGAGAACTGTACAGAACCTTCTAAGGCAGGAGAGTATCCAAAGAGGGAGCAGATGGGAAGAGGGTCCTCTCCTTCAAGCTGGGATTCACACCTTGTTGAAAAATGTGCAAGGCCTGGCCGATGGTCTCCAGGTCAGCATCAAATGTCCCTCTGGGTTGCTGGTGGCAGAGGCTGGCAGGGAGTGCCCTGGGAGAGTCCAAGTCAGGAACCTACTTACAAGCAGAGTGGTGAAGGCCTGGGGTGCTTGTGCCCGTGTCTGGATGGCCCCTGGAAACACTCCCGCCGGGAGCCGGTGGGCTGAGGCCGGCAGGCTGGTGCCCAGGGGAGTCGGTGGTCTGTTCTCCAGCAGGGCATGTGAGGCCTGAGGTTTGCAGAGTCCATGAAGTGGGCCGTAGTGAAGTGGGCACTGGGCTAGGCCTGAGGCCGTGAGCCCACATCTGGATGCATAGCTGGGGCAGAGCAGAGGATGTGCCCATGCGTTCATCTCTGGTAGCAGGTGCAGTCAGAGGAGCTGAAGCAAACAGAAGCCCGCTGGGTCCCGCAAGGGAAGTTTCTTCCTCCTGCTGCGTCCCTCCAGCGCCATCTACTGCCATGGCTCAATATTGTTCTCGATGCAAGTGAGAAATGCTTCAAAGAGCTATCTTACTACTGCGGAGCAGGTAATGAAGGGTAGATTTGGGGTTGAGAGGCAACAAACTGATAACTGTCACACCTAGCAACAAGTGCAATGGAAAAACAATTTGATGTATTAATATAACGGGATCCCATTCGGCACTAACTAGAATGAACTACTGATAGACAAAATAACATCGATGAATGGCAAAAACAGCATACAGAATGAATGAAATCAGACATGACAGGGTAAATCCTGTTATATGAAATTCCTGACCACACAAGACTACTCTACAGGGATAAAATGCCAATCAACATTTCCTGAGGATTTGGGGTGGATGGTATTGACTGCAAAGGATCATAAAAACATTTGGGGGCGATCCTATATCTGGAGGTGGTAGTGATTCCCTAGGCATATACATTTAGCAATGCTACCTTGTCAATTTCAGGGTAAGGGCCACTTGAAAAGATCATGGCTTTGATAAAAACACTGTAAACCTTCCCTCTTCCTGCAAAAGGTGCGTTCTCAGCATGTGAAAGCCTTGGTGGTCACAGAGGACTTTTCTGGATTTTTCTGGGATACAGATGAGATGGTGCACCTGGAAGGAAGTTACCCAGGACCCCCCAGCCATGGTCTCTCTGAGGGCAGGCCCCTGCATTCTTTCCGGCTCGGCCATCACCAGTCCTGCATCTTCCATTGGTTTAGCCATAAGCCCAGGTGGCATAAGAGGACAGTTACCGGGGCCCCTGGGTGGCTCAGTCGGTTGAGCGGCCGACTTCGGCTCAGGTCATGATCTCACGGTCAGTGAGTTCAAGCCCCGCATCGGGCTCTGTGCTGACAGCTCGGAGCCTGGAGCCTGTTTCGGATTCTGTGTCTCCCTCTCTCTGACCCTCCCCCATTCATGCTCTGTCTCTCTCTGTCTCAAAAATAAATAAACGTTAAAAAAAAAAAAAAAAAAAGAGGACAGTTACCAAGGGAGACTGGCCAACCAACCAGACAAGGATTAGGGACACAGGGAAAGTAATCTGCTTGAGGAAAAGGAACTTACCAAAGATCCCAACAGCTTCTGAAAGTGTGAGGCATTATGGACTGGCGTAGAGCAGTAACTACTGTAATTAGTAATACTAAAAATTACAAGAACAAATGGCAAAGATGTTGCAGAAGATGTCCAACAAGCAGTTATTTTGTAAATAAAGCCAACAATGAGGCGTTGACCCATAGCTAATGTTGGCCAGTGCTGGCGGTCAAGTAGAGAGTCTACAGTCTTGATTCATATGTGTGTGCACTTGCCTCGAAACTCCAGAAACTGATTAAAAAAAAAAAAATCATCACCTGAGATCCAGGAAAATTTGTGAAATGTAGGCTGGTTATTAAAGGCCAAAAGTCATCTTATAGGTTTGATAATATCATTTCACTTCCTAGGTCTTGGGCATAGATGGCCCAGAAGGAGTTTACTGAACTCACTTTATGAATAATATTTAATGAACAGTTTCTCACCCCAACAAGAACACTTGTTTGTGAATGATGGAAGATGAGGCCCTTTAACTCAGTGCTCTCAGTGCTGGGCACCCATCCCTGAGAACTCTCACATGGCGTCACAAGTGGGCCTATACAAGGACGGTTGGTTTGGAATTGTCCACAGTGGTGAAGAGTCAGAGCATTGGGGTGTGTGACTGTCCCTGGGGAAATGGATGAGCGTCCTCTGGGGGAGAAGCTTGGCAGGAGACAGTGCAGAAGTTAGAAGCAGAGATCACACACACACACACACACACACACACACACGTAGGCACATCCTGAAAATAGAGTGCTGGGTGAAAGTTAGCAAACAGAATGAAACCTAGTGCCTAATCTCATGTATGAAAATTAAAAATACAGCTCACAAAATAACACCACAGATTTTGTGAGAATACATACACATACCTGTCAAAATATTTTGAGTGGTGTTTACATGAGGAAAGAAGTGAGAAATGGGCATAAAAGTGAATAAATAGAACATGAGAGGGGCCTTCCTCAGGCCAATGATACAAGCATGTTACGAACCCAAGAGAATGATTAACTCAGCTGACTCTGCTCCTGGTGTTAAAAAAAAAAGGGGGCGCCTGGGTGGCGCAGTCGGTTAAGCGTCCGACTTCAGCCAGGTCACGATCTCGCGGTCCGTGAGTTCGAGCCCCGCGTCAGGCTCTGGGCTGATGGCTCAGAGCCTGGAGCCTGTTTCCGATTCTGTGTCTCCCTCTCTCTCTGTCCCTCTCCCATTCATGCTCTGTCTCTCTCTGTCCCAAAAATAAATAAACGTTGGGGAAAAAAAAAAAA